CACACAAGCACACACAAATAAACAAACACACACACACACACACGTACACACACACACACACACACACACCACCTGGCCTCCCAGCTTTGGGCAACAGATGTGGCAGTGCCAGTGCTGTGCCAAGCAGCCGGGGCCGGATGTATGGCCTGGCTTGTCCTCCTCACAAACTCTTTTCCTCTCCCCTATTTTCTCGTTCTCCAATCCTGTCTTCATCTCCTCCTCCCTGTCTGTTCAGTGCTGATGATCCTCCTCTCCTCCCTCATCCTCCCTTCCTCTCCCCCATGTTTCATCCACAAAAGCCTTACTCTCCAATCCCTCCATCCCTCTCTCAATCTCTCATCCGTTGCTTTCCACCCTAATCATCCTTCCATCTCTGTCCTCTCTCATCTTCCTCTCTCCTCCCCACGTCTCCAATTTTCTCTTCCTCTGCCCCCTCCGATCGACTCCCATCGCTCATTGCCCATACTTGTCCTCCCTTCCGCACTCCTATCTTTCTTTCTCCTCCTCCGTCCTTCGATGTACCATTCTTTATCGTTTTCTCTGAGGTATCAGCTTGAATTCTACCATTCGTCATCATTTCCTTTTCTGTTGTCGCCCTCATCTCGCACCTATTCTCCTGTACTCTCCTCTGTCTACCCTATCGTCCCCTCCATCGTCCAAATCCTCACCAAAATGTTCTGCAGATAATTCACACGGTGCTCTTCCAATGCCTTTCAACTAAAAAACCTGAATGGATTTCATTGACTAAACCTATTCAGTTTAATTAAACGTTAATTTAAAAACAATAATTGATGTCCAAATCTAAGACCCTGTGCAGTAGTACAGTGGTAACTAGGAATAGATACAGTGACATCTGCATCAGGCCTTGTGCCAAGAGGTGGAACACCATCTTAGCACCTATCATATTACGTTTAGTAGACAGCAATGTATGAACATGAAATGGAGTAAACAGCTACACGTGCATCCATTTATTTATTAAGAGACATATGCTGTGTTCTACACTGTATTTAGTGTTTTATCCAGCGTAATCGTGGATGCTAATCTGCCGATAATCTGGGTATATTTTTGTTTTCAAAGTAAAATAACTAGATAATCCTGATTACTTTTGCAAATTTAAGCAACTTATAAAATGTCATCCATGACTTTACTCTCTTGTCTTAAATTCAGCTTTTAGTGACATTAAGTGACAAGACCACATTACACCAAGTATTTTATTGATACTATTTACTGTAAAACTATGTTTATGGTGTTATTTCATTCATTTGCATGTGGATTCATTTGGTTGGTCTATGTTTTTTGTTTGTTTTCTTGTTGGGTTGAGTAAAGGAATTAGTTAAAGAAAGTTATTATTTGATCCAGATGTTCACCCAATGCCACAAAAGACTTGTTAGTGTAATTGTACGTTAAACTTAGCTCCGAGTCCACTTTTTGGGTCGTCAAGAACCACCATTGCTACTGACTGAATGAGTGCACAGTGCATATTACTTGAGTATAATATTCACTTGTGTGATAGCTACAGTACAGCAGCAAAGAATAAAAACAAAACCTGAACTTCAAACATAAACACATTGATTTAGGAATCAGTGCTACAACAGTAATGTACTGGCCTCAGCCTTATTGTCTTTAATGTGCTCAGCAATATACAGTAATGTCAAATTGAAAAGGTTTTGTGCCTTAAAAAGTAAAGGTGATGTCAGCCTTAATGTGTGTGAGTGTCAGTTCTGTCCTCGGTCAGACTGTGGCAATTTAGGGTGACCACCTGAGAGCAGACACATAGTTTTACTACCAATCTGTATTGTATGAACAATGAGAAGTGATGTTGGTGGTAATGAGACCGAGAGACATTAAAATTAATCTTGTTAAGTCATTAGCTGGTTAATTACACATGTCAACGACGCTGTGGAGCTTGTTAACCAGGTGTAGACAGATGATATAGTGATAAATGGTTAATTAGAGCCCACAGTGAATTCTGTAAAGCATACCAATGCTGTGAAGACTGATGTCTGACAAGATGCTTTGACACGTCATGAGTGAAACTGATGCAATAACTGATGTACCATTTCACTGCGGCTCTGTGTGATGAAACCACAAGAACATTTCAGCAACATCTCGTGGTACTTTACATGACAGAGGTGATTTGCACTTACGAAATATAAATATATAATCAATTAGAGGATAGGGTCTATTCTTTCAACTGGAAGATGTGCTTTCAATTCCTTGTCCTAGAGCATGACACTGACTACGTGCCACCTATAGAGGTTCTGTTTTAAACTGCAGGGGTTAAATACAGCAGTTGCCACAGTATAATAATCAATTATGAACCTACAGACATGTATCCAGGGCACATGGATGCAGCATAAACAGATAAGATGCAGGTAGTTGGACACATTGCCACTAGTCTCTTTGTTAGCTTATAGTTTACAGCATTTTAAAGAAAAAAACTGGATTATAACAAGCCGGCAAAAACAAAAAGATGCTCCAAATTAGTGTATCAGGAATCTAAAAGCTGTGTCCTTGATGTGGGAATCTGTAAGCATGGGATGAGTAGACTTTGATGTAAAGATACAGGTACAGTAAGATTTAGAGCACAGTCTAAAAAGGCTATTTTGACATATATATGGTAGTTCACGTACTTGCTACAGAGAAGTTATTTAGGGGGTAGGGCAGGTCCGCATCCTGAGGTTTCTCTTTGTAGCCGATGAAAGAGCCGTCTGTCTTCAGCAGAAAGTAACGCGGCCCGCCAGTTCTTTATGTATTCACCTGAATAAAAAGATAAGCACAAAGGAGAAGAAGGAAAGAAATCAAATATCAGATATTTGGTGCAAACACCACTGAATTCAGATCAGTGATGATGCTGAATGCAATAGTGCACTCAGGGGTAATGATGATTATAACGATCACAGTGATACATGGAAAGCATTAATAGCAATAACGATGATCGTGATGATTTTAAATACAGATTTTATTCCCTAGACAGATAAGAGCTTGTCCGCTCAACTCTCATCTGTCCAAAGAATATCACACACATCTACACACTGTACACAGGCACACACACACACACAGTATCTCTGTGACTCCCACAGTGCTTGCCAGATACAGATCGGATTATAATGTAAAAAATGACAAAAACATGTTTACCAGCACAACAACCAAACTATCTATGCCAGAAACATCATCTGGCTGATACATGGGCAGGTGTCGAGGTGATGACCCCTCTACCAAACACACACACACACACACACAACCACACTGTGCACACATACACACAAACACATATATGAATTTAAACACACATGCATACAAATCACTGGTCTCCTGCAAAGGGGGTAGAAAAGACAAGGGATGAGATAAGATGGAATGAGATGACATGAAATGGGATAAGATTATACATAGAGAATGACCCTTCTTAGACCCCAGCAACAAATAACAACATCTGCTGAGCAGCTGGTAGCAGAGTATTACCCAACTGGCTGGCACAGACTGGCACTAAGGTGGCACCACAGCTTTATCAGATGACCTGCTGCAGGATTACATGAGTGTCAAACATTTCCACACCACAGAGGCGGATAACACTTACTGGAAGCAGCATGGATACACACATGGATTAAAGTACACACACGTGTGGATTCACACATAGTTGGACGAGTACAATGAGTACAAATACTGGGATGAGACTGTGCGCACACATGCACGAACGCGCAGAGTACACGGTTGAAGTACTACTGAGACACACAGCTCTGATGAAAGAAACTGACAATCTCAACACTTTCCAAAGCCGGGAGCTGTGTAAACATTTCACTTTCCCATTTCAAACAACAGAAATAAAAACCACAGAAGGACACAAATGTTCCCTACTCCTCAACCCCTTTTAATTAACCAGCCGTTCCTTGACATGCACACACACACACACACATACCTTGTGAAGACATACTAAGATGCAAAACAAAGATTCGTATGTGCATGCAGGTGTAAACACTCATAGCCGATGCACATACACACGAAGCTCGGTAACAGCTCTGATCACCTTTCTTAGGCTAATTCGCTGGGAGAGTAGAATAGGCAGCGTGTATATATGTGTGTGTGTGTGTGTGTTCTATTTGTGACATCCATTTAAAGCGGAAATGACAGCAGGCCGTGCTCGTTAACACGTCGCAGAAAAACACCTGCTCCGCCGAAGGGACCATGCGACTGCGGGGCCTGCCGGTACCTCTGGGTGGTTCTGGTGGTGGAGGTGTGTGCGTGTGAGTGTGTGTGTGGTGGAGGGGTGGTAGTGGCTGAACACACAGGGACAGACAGAGACACAGATAAGAAAATGCTGTTGGATGCCAGTGCGTCATCAGGATTACCAAATCACACCTCTCTCTCTCAGTCTCTATTTTTTCTCTTTTTCACAAATCCACCCACTCTCCCCTCCTCTCCCATTTCCTTCTCCTGTTCTTTCAGAAACAAAGCATCTTCTTTGGATCAGTTGCTACTGATAAACAGAGTGCTGTGAGAGGGGCTGAACGGGAGGGGTGGTAGGAGGGATGCAGGGAGGCATAAGGAAGAGGAAGGAAACAAATGTATAAAGAAAGCAAAAAAGGAATGGAGAAAAAGGAGGTTGTGAGTGAACGAAAGAGAATATTTCATCAATTCTGACCAAACTAATATATATAAAACTAGAGATGAGGGTTGCATATAATCAGTTCAGCATTTTGAAGTGCATTGTGGGATTTTGGTTCCCTGGAGAGAGAATGAATGTAAGCAAGCCTAATGAGCTTATTCTAAATTCTACCAGAAAATACTTTGATTAGTACTTTGCAAATTAATGTGAGTCACTCCATGTATTTTTTATGTTTTTAATGTAAATGTGATCTTTGAGATGCAAGTTTCTTCAAATCCAAACTACAAGAGGAGGAACACAACACTGTTAATGTAATGTAGACTCTGTAAGGAAGGCCATGATTCAACTTTATGGAAATATTTGAGGCTGTAATTTATGGTGTTGGTGAACTTGACTTCATTCTGAAGCATTACACAGGTGTTTCCATTATTGGGTTTAGCTCCTTTTGGTTCACATCAGCATCACATCAACTGATTAAACTTAAGAAATATGGAAAAATATGATCATCTGGAAAAAAGAAATCTGGTTGACTTCAAAGTGGACAGGAGACAGAGATGTATTGACTGACAAAATGGATGAGGATAAACAGAAAGTTAAACTGATAAAACTATTATAAACTGGCAGTGATGACTGGCTTGCTGGTCCAAGTCCAGTCATTTCTCTGAGTCAGTTTCTAGATGAAGTGTCCAACCAATGGAAGCCTGTGGCTGGCCACTTCATCGCTCAGCTGTCCAGTACAACTGAAAACATTTAAGCAATCCTTCTGGCCGGGCCTAGACAGTGTGTATATGTGTGAGTGTGTGTGTGTGCGGTGCGTATGTGTACACGTCCACTGGGGGGCGGGGGAGGGGGCAGCCAGGGGTGGCACAGACGGAGAGAGGAGATGGACAGTTGTCCACACATGCCGTTCCAAACAAACACAGGCATGCGCACGCTCATACACACACACACAAACCAACACAATTCAGTTTCGACCGTTCCAATTCTCCGAATGATCCAATGGTGTTCTGTCAAGCTATCCCGTCTTGGCCCTGCCTGTAATGAGTCCAGCGAGCTCTCCCACTCTGGACAGCTTGTCTGGGGAGCCACATGTCTCTAGTTTGGACTGCTGGAGAAAACAGAACAGCCGGTCTCCTTCCCACACCATCTCTCTCGGACTCCTCACTTCAGTTTCATTTAGTTTTCTGCACAACTTTACTTTTCCCTTAAGGCCAATTAGTAGATACTACACTATACAGTGCTTAAGACAACAGGAGTCTCTTGTTTCTTGTTAGAACCACAGGAAATCAGTAATCCAGGACAACGTGGGTGATCTGAAAGATCTAAGTAACAGAGGATATTTAGGAGGACAAGTTAATGCATTTTTGAAGTGTATTTAAATTTGTTTCACAATTTGTTCAAAACACTGACAAAATATTAACTTGTGCCGAAGTTCTTAAGTGCTCTCTTTCATCTAATTTCCTACCGTAATTCGATGTATACTTGTACTTTTCTGAAATCTTTATGTTCCTTTTTCGTTTATTGTTAGGAAAGTATTACATTGCATTGTGACTTGATTTAGAAAGCTCTAAAAAAACTAAATATATAAACATAAGCCAAAAAACTACTGTACTTAGTCACAAACTGAGTAAAGGTGAAAAAACCTTCTCTCAAAGTCTCTACTCTTCAAGACCTTTAGTTTTCAGCTTTTTTGGGGCGAGCTACGAACTAACGATTAACAACTAAACTAGTTTAACTTTTAAAAAGTTATTTTGGAATTTCTGGGAGAAATAAATCTTGTTGGCACACCCTCCAGTTGCAGCTTGTGGATTTAGAAGTAAGAGGCAGAGATGAATCAGCTGTGACTGTGTCCGTTCCAAGCTTTCTGATTGGACAATTACAACAACGCACTGACTAACTGTCACTCAATTAGCAGACTGATTAACTATTCATTTCAGGACAGAGGGGGAATGGGGAAAGAATGAGACGGAGAAATGCAGAGATGAAAAATAGGAGACAGGTACAAATGGTAAGGCTGAACTTCAGCCAGCAAAACAGAAATGAGACAAAACTTTACAGTCTCTCTCCATCTCTCTGTCTCACACTCGTTCCTTCAGGACACCAGCACACCTCTGCTCCTCTGCTTTGCCGGATGCCATGTTTCAGCAAAGACCGAGACAGACGAAAAGCAGGAAAAACCTTGATGACAATTAAATAAATAACTCCATAACTATGTGAGCTCACCAGCCATTTGTTAATCAACCCAAACAGGGATTTAATTTAATGCTTTGGACGAGGCTGGAGCTGATATGCAGATGGCGCAGAGACGGGGCTGTGTGACTGGCACTCTGGGAGCTGGAGGGGTGGCGGGTGGTGGTGTATAGAGGTAGGGGGAGGCGGATGGAGAGAGGGTGGAGGGGAGGTTCTGCCACGTTCCAGCACATAAACAGCAGCTCACCGGCAGGGAGAGGAATGTGTCATCTGGCCACATGACAACACACGCACACTCACATACATCCACACACACATTCAGTGCTCAGAGTAGTAGTGTTTGGCTGAAATGGGACGGAATAAATAACAAGTTTACTGATCACGTGACTGAGTAGCTGGCTGGTTGGTCGCCCAGACTGATAAGCTGACTGACCAAAGGAAAAGGTAACAGACTACTTAGTTTGGCTAGGTTTGGCAGGTTGTGAGAGTGCTTACTGGGTGTCTGACTAAACTACATCATTTAGTACTGAAACAATTCAATTAAGTGATTAGTCAATCTAGATTATACATAATAAATCAAACTGTTTTGATGATAGATTAATCAGTAAGTCATTTAGAAAAAGAAACATCTGCTGGTTGCAGCTTCTAAAATGCAACAATTTTCAGTTTTTCTATTTTATGTCATTGTAAGCTGAACATCTTTGGGTTTTGGGCTTTTCGTCAGACCAACAGAAGCTATATGAAGATGTCACCTTAGGCTCTGTGCACTTGTAATAGGCCTTTTTAACAATAACAATATTCTTCAGTTGAAGGCCTTTCATGTTTCAACAGCACAAAAAGCACAACCAGTAAAAAAGTAACTTTTTAATGTACTATACAGTATCATTGTAAATGGCAAAGTTCAATGAAATGCAAATCACTTATGCACAGTGTAGCAGTATGGGATTTGCACCATCGAAACAACCGC